TAGGATATTATTCAGAGTTTCCCAAAGCTCTGTAAGGCTGTGACTCTTGAGGGTGATAAGAGCAGAGGTCTGACTGACAAAACAAACACGAAGGCCAAAAGTAATAAAGTGTTGAATCTTCTCTTTTTGTGGATACACATTTTTATTTAACATTATGAAGGTATTTGGTAAATAAAATGATTGGCCAATGGTTTAGTTTTTTTTTTTATTAACAATTGATTCAAAATTGTTTTCTTTGTATAGTTAATCAATTCAGGTGGTTTTTCCAACACATTAGAAGGTATATGGTAATTCTCCAGCGGGAGTTTGTTTAAAAAAAAATAGGAATAATGCCTTGGGGTTCAAATTAACCTTGCAATTAAGACTGCCAGTTAAAACTTAATTATAATTGAGAATCATTTCAGAAGACACTAAAATGTCTGGCGGACCACAATTGGCCCACAGGCCTGGTGTTTGGACACCTGCACTGCACCAAAAGAGGACAGGCCCTAAGTTGATCGTAGCTCCTTTTCAATTTAAATATTTAGGTTTTTTTTTTTTTTTTAAAGGTCTCCATGAGTTTTCATCTTGATACACAATCATCAAAACACTTAAGTTTATTTGATCTTTAGGATATAGGTTGTTGTTTTACCATAAGAGAATAATTAATTAGTGAGGCCTGACTTGTGTGAGAGACCTGCACATGAAGGAGAGCAGACAGCAGCAGAATGCACTTATCTGCTCTCCAAGGCCGGAGAGGAGTGTTTTGAAAACTCAAACTGATAACCCATGAGTAAAGTTATATGGAGACCATTATTATTATTATTATATAGACTGAGGCTAAGCCCTGGCAGCGCGGACCCAGAGGACAGGCTAGGGAGGGGACAAATAACCCTTTTGCCAAAACATTGTTTCAGAAACGTGACCAACCTCTCCATGAGGAGGGATCACATCTCCAAGAGGGAGACACAGAGACGCCATCACGCCTTGGCCACGAGGGTCGAGCCAGAGGAGGGGTCTGAGTCTGGCGAATGCCAGGAGGGGCCCTAACCAAAAGTGCCGGGGGCACCCCACCGCGAGGGTCGACGCCCCATCATGGGTCCAGCCCACCGCAGGTGGACCCCAGCTGCCCAGAGCCAAAGGGGACCAACGAGAAGGGTCTGAGGACCTTCTCCAACGCAAGGAGGCAGCGAAGAAGTGGGGGCGGCAGTGCCCGACTTCCAACGCAGAAGTGGAGCCGAAGCAGGAAGGCTTGCTCCCCAACGGCCGAAGGAAGGGACCACCTTGAGGGTCCCCACGACAAAACTTGGTCTGCCTTCTGACCAGGTGTTACACAAATAGAAGCTCTGAGCCATGGGTCAGGTACATTGTTCCCCGCTTTTTCACAAAGCGGAGTCACCTGGACGAGCGCCCCTTTTTGGGCCTGTGCATATACAGCCAGGCTCCAAGTTTATTTGCTACGCCCAAACCATTTCTGAGATACCACTTCGAGAGGCTGGCATGGGTCTAGACCCCGTATCTGTAGGCAAAATCCCCCTGGAGTATTGTTCGGCAGTATACACACTCCATGCACATACATGTATGGTACACACAGGTTTAACCAGTCCCAGGCCAGCCCCAACTCTAAGTGTGCCGCCTACCTCACTGTTCCGGACATGTTTGGTACCAACCCAGTGGAAGGCCATATGTTCCTGTGTGGTTACCGTATGTATGATTGTCTGCCGGCAGGATGGATCGGCAGATGTGCTGCTGCCGTGCCCGCGGACCACTCGTACATTATTTCCACCCATGAGCCACTCAGCCCCAGGGTAAAGCGGGTCACTCCCTTGGTCATGCCGCCTCACGACCCACTGTGGGGCCCTGATGTGCCAGATGACCATAAGATCTGGACCATAGGGGAGAAGGTGATGCTGGCCCTGTTCCCAAGTCTGGGGGTGGGGAAACTGATGCTGAGAATGGAAACATTCAGCTATCGGTTTTCAGCATTTATAAACACCACAGTCTCAGTCTGGGAGGCACAGCGTGCGGAGCTCCATGGCTTGAGAGCAGTGGCCCTCCAGAACCGCCTGGTGCTGGACCATTTGACCGCATCTACTGGTGGTGTCTGTGCCAGGGTGGGAAAATCCTGCTGCACATACATCCCAGCTAACGAGGAGGATGGAGGTTTGATTGAGCAGGGAATAGCCAACTTAACCCGGCTCCGAGATGCAATGGAGCGGGAGGACGCGAGCGGTCCATTTCCATGGTCGGGCTGGCTGACCTCCTCTTGGCGACACTTGCTAATCAACATAGCCTCCATTTTGTTGGTAGGGATGGTGGTATTCTCGTGTGTCATCCCTTGCGCAGTGAAAATTATGAGCAGAGTTTTCACCGCCCATTTTACCTCCAGCCAAAACCGGGGGTCCGAGCCATCCAGTATTTTGAGAAAGAGCGTGACTATATTTTAGACTCTGAGGATGAAGAGTACACCCATGTCCGGGTTGTAGGCTAGGGTTACAGGTGTCGGCGTGGGGAGGGGTGGAGGTCCGCTGATGACCGTCAGGTCCAGTAACGCTTTGCCCCCCCTGAGTCGGGGTCTGTGACTCATCCAGTGTGATTAATGTAATCAAGAAAATAAGTGTGGTTTCCTTAATTTCCTTTTTGTTCTGTAATCAAACTGTGAATATACTACTTATTCAAAATGCTCACATTCTCTCTCTTGTTGATGAATTTGTTCCTGTGATTTATAATTGTAATTTCTATAGCCAGAATTAAGTTGATTAAGATAAACGGGGTTTATATTATCAAAAGGGTGAATTGTTATAGAAATCTTACTGGGATTATAAATCAATTTAACTTAAGAATGAATCTAGTGATGAAATGGGATATCTGGGACAAAGTTCAAAGCTAGTGAATCTGTTCAAACTACTGTAACTAAACTGTTGTTCTGTAGGGACGCGAGGCCAATGACGGGGTGGAGGCAGATACTAGTTTGATATCAGGGGCAAGAAGAGCGGGCTCACCGGTCATACTGACCATTCTTCCTTATATCAGAGTAATATCAGAGTCTATCAGAGTAAGACGTCAGAAGAGAGGGGGGTTTGGGCAATAGCTGCCACTTAATCTCGGACTCAGAGACGCCATAGATAGGCCCTTCTGTTTGTTTCATCCTATAAATGTGAGAGAGAATGAGCACTAATGGAGCAGATCTACCCGGGACCTGCCACACGGTTACACGGTTGTATTTCCTGCATATGTATACATTTACTGAGATAATAAACCACACTTTGATTTGAATTACAGCTCTTGTTGTTTATTTTATATTTAATCTTGTGCATTTCACTCCTTAGAAATTCCACAACAGGGTCTTACCTATGACCTGCACAGACCACTTCGGTTCAGACCAGTTTTATGTTTAAGTCCAGATAATAGTTTGAGCGCGGATATGTAATCCTCCATTTGTAAATAAGTCCAATGAGTTTTAAAAAGTAAAACAAAACGGGTGTCTCCTCCATAAACTCCTCTCGTGTTTCGCTGCAGCCGACTGCATCCAATATCTAAAATCAACATTACCCTTCACCTTTCTTCCTTATCATTCATATCATCATTGGAAGCATGAAATTACCCTAGTGCATTTTAAAAAATATGTTATATGTATGTTAGCCAAACCTGTAGCTGCCCTTAGCAGAAGAAGAACAAGCCCCGGTGATCAAAGATGTTCCACTGCGCAGAACCGGGAGGACCAGACGATGCCCAAATATAGGCGAGTTCAGCTAATCTCCCGGTCTCCATGAAGTCCCATTCGCTACTGAGCACAAGCCATTCATTTGAATAGGACGCCATCTTGGATCACCGGGGCTTGATCCAAATCCATTGCTGCAAGAACTGAGAAAGGCTCAGGGAGCGTCAACAAATGTCAAGACCAGCTTTGTAAACTAATAACTTTTACTGAAGTATCTTTTTTATATTTTGTATGACTAATATATATATATATATATTAGTGACATGTTAGTCCCATACGAACCAAGCCGGACTCTGAGGAGCACAGGGACTGGACTGGATGTAGTGAAGTTCTAAAAACTGATTATGAAATTCCATGATTCCTGTGTAGACTGAAATTAGGACTAAAAAGTGCTCAACCGGATCCACCCAAATGGTGTCCCTTATGTAGCATGTGGCTACGCTAAACTATTACAGGTCAGGTAATAATTTGACACACACACTATCGAGTTCTGGGCTAAAAATCAGAAGTCCCAGTTCGCCTCTAAGAGTGGAGAGAGACACAATGAAACACTTGAATTTTGCAGATGGCACCACCACATGTATTGATTTTAAAGAGACTATGACAAACAACAAACAATGACATACAACAAATTTACATATATAGACAATGAGTTCTGTTTGGCTTCCGGAATTGTCCACTTCAACGGTTGCACAAATGTCAGAGTACGCGAAGCGCACAAAACAAAATATAATCTCGTGCTCGTTCAGTGAGTGGTTGTTTGGTTGGGCTCGGATATTCCAAAGAGTGAGTTTTAACGGGTGAATGTGAGTCAATATGAAGTGAGCCCCTCACTTCGAACACGAGGACAAATCAAAAGGGAAAAAGGGCGGCTACAGGAGCCTCCTACCCGACCGGAGCAGGAGGATGCAGTTGTCTGACTGGACTGAGTTCCTCTCTTGGAGCTCAACTCTGGTTCGGGACTAAGCTCCTGGCCAGTTCTCCAATGTGAAAACACACACACACGCTTCCCTCACAGCCGACGGATCAACGGAGGCTCCTGCAGCTTCTTTCCTAACCCGCTTCTACCGGCAACCACACAGTCTGTCAATATGGCTACTGACGGTCATGTGACTGATAGACGTGATGACGTATATTATGCACGCAGCGCGCAGTGAAAATACATTTAACTTATTTTATACTTGCACATTACACAAATATATATATATAAATATATATATGGTTTCTTTACCTGGGTTACATCTTCCCCCTCTAAAATCATGCAACTCCCGATGCATGGCTAAACATCATAAACAGGAGGATGCAACAGATCGGATGCTACAGAGGTAGGAAGTGCACTGCTGTACGCATCAAGCAACCCATGAAAGAGTGTCTGTACAACAGAAATAAGCGGACGCCCCAATGCCGAATACTGAAGGCGATCGGGCGGTTGGCGCTGTCGACTAGAACGTCGCAAAACTGTATCGGATTCAACTGCGGTAACGGGCGGCGTATTAGGTACTCGAACTGCTTCGATCGGACTGAGCAATGACTCATCGGTATTGGATGGTGCTTCTGCTTGGCCAGGGAGCTCTTGTTCTTCAGATATTGGATCTTCAGCAGGCTCTGGCTCTTCAGTCACAAGCGGATGTGTTTCAGCGGTAGCAGAGGAATCTCCATCTTGAGGTAAGTTGTTTTCTTCTTCCACAGGTGAATCAATATGCGGAAGCGAAAGGCTGGCATCTGCAGAGGATTTGGGGTCTCGGATTCCAAGCTCAGCCACATCATTGGAGAGAGGACAAACACCACTGAATGTAAATGAGGCTGGCTGTATTTGAGCTTGAGGCAACTCCCATCTTCCATCTTCATTCTGATCTTCATCCAAATCCTCAGTTACCTGATTCTGGCTTCGGATTTGAGGACGACGTGGTGGGGTAATAGCTGTAACTTCCAAATCATCATCATCATCTGGCAGGAACGGACAAGGAGGAGATCGCGATGCAGGGTACGGATCGGTCCATCCCTGCTCTCAACACACACGGTGTACACTGGTAAGTTGCCTGCACGTTTCAGGACAGTGTAAACATCACGCTCCCATTTATTCTCAAGTTTATGCTTCCCACGAAGTCTGACATTGCGAACAAGCACTCTGTCTCCTACCTCCAGGCTGGAGGGAGTCACTCTCTTGTCAAATCGAATCTTATTTCTTTCGCCTGATTTGGCAGCATTCTTGGCCGCAATATCAAAACTTTCTTTGAGTCTGGCTCGGAGGCTTTCGACATACTGGAAATGAGATGTCGTCTGGTTCTTCTGCAGAGGGAGGCCAGACGCAGCGAACGACCGAACATCAACTCGTACGGTGTAAAACCAGTGACGTCATTTCGAGTGCAGTTGTACGCGTGCACTAGTGGCTTCACATAGTCCTTCCACCTCGCCTTCTGCTTCTGCGCCAGCGTCCCAAGCATTCCAAGTAGGGTCCGGTTGAATCTCTCGACTGGATTCCCTCGGGGATGGTAAGGAGTTGTCCTGGTTTTTTGGATACCAGCGAGATGGCAAAGCTCCTTGATCAACTTTGATTCGAAATCAGGACCTTGGTCCGTGTGTAGTCGCTCCGGTATACCATAACAAACAATAAAGTTCTCCCACAAGCATTTGGCCACGGTCCTTGCCTTCTGATTTGCAGTGGGAAGAGCTATGGCAAACTTTGTAAAATGATCAGTAATAACAAGAATGTCCTTTGTGTTGCTTTGATCTGGTTCAAGTGATAGATAGTCCATGCAAATCAATTCCAAGGGCCGTGTTGTTTGGATGTTGACCAATGGTGCAGATCTTTCTGGAAGAGCTTTGCGCCTGACACAACGACTGCACGTTCTGATTTTGGACTCTACATCAGCTGCCATATGAGGCCAAAAGAAACGGCATCGCACGAGATCTAACGTTCGTTCGATGCCCATGTGCCCCATGTCATCGTGAAGGCTTGTTAGAACGATCGACCTTAGCTCTTCAGGTAACACCAACTGGAATGAAACTTGTTCCCTCTCTTGCCTTCTCCGATACAAGATGTCCTCTTGTAGCTCGAGACGGTTAAGTTCTCTCAGCAGCAGTGCTAAGTCTGGGAGTTCATGCTTGGCGGTAGGAGGTACTTTTTCTCCACTTTCCATCTGATAGATGACCTCCCGTATCACTGGATCAGCGCGCTGCTTCTCTCTGAGCTGGGCCTGTGAAAGTGTGGGGACGACCGGAAGACCATTGTCAGTTTCCCTTGCATAACATTCTGGAACGGCATCTGCTGATAAACTCAAGGACTCAACCAGGGTGATTGGACGCTCTGTGGAGCTGCTTTGATAGCTGTTGACGAGACAGCGGTGGCATATGGCAGACACAACATCAGAGTCCAGATCCTCAACTTCACTTGGGTCCATGACGTGTTCTTGAGTGAACTTATTTATTAAATCCCAGTCTTTTTGTACCACAACGTCAGCACGCGGAGGGTGAGGGCGGCGAGAAAGAGCATCAGCATCGAGATTCTGAGTTCCTGCTCTGTACTGCAGTTTGAATGTGTAGGTGGAAAGGGCAGCCCACCTGTGGCTAGCGGCGTCCAGCTTTGCTGATGTTAAAAGGTAAGTGAGTGGGTTGTTATCTGTCACTACCAAAAAGTGGGCCCCGTACAGATAATCGTGTAGCTTCTCTGTCACACTCCACTTCAAAGCAAGAAATTCAAGCTTGTGTGCCGGATACCTCGATTCACTGGGTGACAACCCTCGGCTAGCGTAAGCAATCACCCGCAGTTGCCCTTCTTGCTCTTGATATAAAGCCGCTCCGAGCCCTGTAGTACTGGCATCAGTATGTAATATGTATGGCAGCTTTGGGTCGGCGAAACCCAAGACCGGGGAACTCGTCAGCTTCTCAATCAACGTTTCAAAGGCGGATTGGCATGCTAGAGACCATCGCTCTCCAAAAGGCTGCTTCACATCATAGCTCTTGTCTGGACTGGGCTTCGCTCGGTTCTTGGAAGTGGGTGCATAACCACGTGTGAGGTCATTTAACGGTTTAGCGATGGCAGCATAACTTTTGATGAACCTCCTGTAATAGCCAGCAAAACCTAAGAATGAACGGAGCTCTTTGAGTGTTTTGGGAACTGGCCAGGATTTCAGAGCTTGAAGCTTATCTGGATCCGTTTTCACTCCCTCCTCTGACACAATGTGCCCCAGATATCTCACCGACGTCTGGAAAAACTTGCACTTTTCCGGAGAGAGCTTCAGGCCATACTGCGTCAACCGATGAAGCACCCGCAGCAACCTCTGCTCATGTTCTTCCAATGAACTGGAAAATACAATCAGATCATCAAGAAAAACAAGCACTTCTTGCAAATTGAGGTCTCCCATGCATTTCTCCATTAGCCGTTGGAAAGTACTCGGCGCATTTGTTACCTCTTGAGGCATGCGATTAAACTCCCAAAAACCCAGTGGCGTGACAAATGCAGTCTTTGCTTTGTCCGCCTCGTCCATCTCAATCTGGTAGTAGCCCGATTTCAAATCAAGCACGCTTAACCACCGGGAGCCGGTCAATGCTGAAAACGCCTCCTCTGGGTTGGGCAGGGCATAGGCATCTTTAACAGTCTGTAAGTTCAACTTGCGATAATCGATACACAACCGTATGTCTCCATTCTTTTTACAAACGAAACAATTGGTGAAGAGAACGGCGACTCAGATTCTCTAACGACAACAGCTTCCAGTAGATCGCGCAGATGTTGTCGCACTGCTTCAACATCTTGTGGATGGACTGGTCGAGCTTTGTATTTAAAAGGTGTTTCATCATGGAGTTTTATAGTGTGCTTTACCTTGTCCGTGCATCCAAAATCTAACTCGTGATGGGAGAAGACTTCAGGAATCTCATTGAGTTTCTCGACAATCCTGCTCTTCCATTCTTGGGGAATTGGCGACTCTCCAAAATCCAAATTCAGAGTCTTTGGCAATCTCCCAGACGATGAGTGGGTAGAGAGTACGCCGTGGGACAAGATCTGCGGAGATGTCGTAAGCTCTGCAATGGTAAAGAATGGTGGAATGGTTATGTCTTGATCAGAGTCATTGGTGAGAGTGACAGGGATCTTCTTGTGGGATTGGCTTGGGAGCATAACAAGGGAGTTCTTAACACACAGCCCACCTGGCAGTTGTGAGGTTGGATGCTCCACAAGCGCCCACTGACCTGGAGTTGGCATGCCAATGTTTATGGAACCATCAACGATGGTGGTGTGTCCAGCAGGGATGAGAATGGGGGACTTGCTGGCCAACCTTATTACTCCACTGGTGCCCACCTGTTGTTGCTGGTGGCGTATTTGCAGGAGTTTAAGAACTGCTTTGAACCCATGGGCCTCAGGTTGGAAAGCTGTACACTCACTCCCCATGTACTGACTGTATAGTGGCTCCAATGTGTTCATGCCAATTAACACTGGGGACGGGGTATCTAGACGAACATCCGGAACAACGAGAGCCAGAGTCGAGACATCAAAATCAGCCCCCAGGAACTCTCTTGGAAACGTGAACATCATCTCCACATACCCCAAGTAGGGGACAGCTTGTCCTGCAGCACCCTCAATATGCAATAGGTCACACAATGGCTTTAGCGGCTGATCTGAGAAATAGCTGTTGTAAAATGAAACTGAAATGGTTGTAACCTGCGACCCTGTATCGAGGAGGCAATTACATTCGTGATTGGAGACTTTAAGGGTGGCTGTGCAACGAGAACCAATTAGACCTTTTGGTAACCGTGACGGGACGTTCTTTGGGATCTGATTAACTTCACATGTCACAACGGGTTTCTGCTTGCAGTTGGGACGTTGTTGGTCCGCAACAGTTCCGGTTTGCCCCTCAACCAGAACTGCATCTAGTTTAAAGACTGGGTATTGGGGGTCTGCCACTTGGATTTCTTCTTCTTCTTGGCAGCCACCAGAGCAGAGTTAGGGGGATTGTCGCAGTTGGGCTTGATGTGCCCGTCCTCACCACACCTGTAGCAGTAGCCGGGCTTGGGTGCAGAAGGCAGGTTCTTTGAGTACTTGCCTGCCCTCTGACCTTCCACCTCATGGTCATAGGTGGGCTTGGAAGCAGTATTTTGGCTTGTGCTTGATTGGCCGGCAGTAAGTAACGCAAGCTGCTTCTGGATGTCGGCTAGCTGCTGCGCCAGTTGCTGGGTGACGCTGGTAAGGGCGGCTATCTCCCCTCTCTCTGTAGTGTTTGTATATGCATATTGAGCATGGGCGGAAACTCTGGGTCTGGTTGATCCAAGATGCTGCTTCATTCGAATGGCTTTAGCTGCTTCACGGTCCTCCTCGGTTCGCAGTAACAGCAGAAAATCCGCAAAGATTGGGGGATTATTTTTTCGTTGTTTCAATTGTAGTTCGGTAATGAGGGCATTTTCCTAACAGCCACGGCAGAATTGGGCCAACAAATGTCTTTCATTGTCTTTGATTACTGCTCCCCCACGCTTGACAGCCATGTTCAAAGCAATCTGCAGACGTTGCAAATATGCAGACGCTTTCTCGCCAGCATCTTGAAAGGTGTCCAGGAATTTGGCATACAGCTCCTCCCCGTCCTGGACAGTGCCGTATGCAGAATCAAGAGTCTGTAAATAGATAAAAGGTGATGTATCTGGCTGTAAATGCTTCACCACATCAGCTGCGGGCGGCGGTAAACTTTCAAATATTTTCCGTGAACGCTGCAGGTCAGACACTGCAGGGTCTTTCAATACGAGATCGATGCCGGAACGCCATGTATCATAGTCGGATTCATTCTGCGGTCGGGGCAGCCGTCCAGAAAAGGCCCGGATGCGATGGTTGGAATACTGTCCCATACCGTCCTCATTCTTCACTATGTGCTCAACTACATAGCGCTGAATTTGCGGTGGATTCAATTCCTGTTGAGACATCGCTGGTAGCGAACGGCGGGGTGTATTCGGGAAAGTGGCCTCGGCCTGGCTTCCAGGGAAGTTTCTGGCGCCACCAGCAGGAGCAATAGGTGGATCCGCGTCAGCAGCTGGTGGTTGGACATCGGCGGGGATTGGTGGTAATCCATCCTTGTTGTCCTCAGTACTCCCATCTTCATCTGTCGTACTGTGGAGCCTGCTGACAGTCTGACCAAGCAGAGGCATCATACCACTAAGTACAACAGCAAAATCTTGACCAGTTTGTTTCGCTACAGTCTCAAGTTGGTTCAAATACATCAGAGTTTGCATCTTTCCCACTTCATCAGCGAGAAGGAGAGACAAGTCAAGTAGCTTATAACTAACTTCATCGTCCACGCAATCATATGTATAAGGCAACATTTTGGCGGTTGACCTGAACTGTATTCAACCACAATAGAATGGTGAAACAGGGATTCAGAGTCATCAATGCACTCACACTTACGGATAGACCCAAACCGCTTCAGAAATTCCACAACTTCATCATCGGTGGCCGTTTTAGTCGCGTCTTGGACTAAGATTGAGTTCGCAATTTTAATGCCAAGTTTCTCAAATGTTTCCATATCTTCCAAATACAATACAACCTTCAAAAAAAAATGTTTGTCTCACGTTAATCCACTCCTGGCTAGCTTACCAAGAATTATGTAGCATGTGGCTACGCTAAACTATTACAGGTCAAGTAATAATTTGACACACACACTATCGAGTTCTGGGCTAAAAATCAGATGTCCCAGTTCGCCTCTAAGAGTGGAGAGAGACACAATGAAACACTTGAATTTTGCAGATGGCACCACCACATGTATTGAATTTAAAGAGACTATGACAAACAACAAACAATGACATACAACAAATTTACATATATAGACAATGAGTTCTGTTTGGCTTCCGGAATTGTCCACTTCAACGGTTGCACAAATGTCAGAGTACGTGAAGCGCACAAAACAAAATATAATCCAAGTGCTCGTTCAGTGAGTGGTTGTTTGGTTGGGCTCGGATATTCCAAAGAGTGAGTTTTAACGGGTGAATGTGAGTCAATATGAAGTGAGCCCCTCACTTCGAACACGAGGACAAATCAAAAGGGAAAAAGGGCGGCTACAGGAGCCTCCTACCCGACCGGAGCAGGAGGATGCAGTTGTCTGACTGGACTGAGTTCCTCTCTTGGAGCTCAACTCTGGTTCGGGACTAAGCTCGCCATCCAGAACCTCCTGGCCAGTTCTCCAATGTGAAACACACACACACGCTTCCCTCACAGCCGACGGATCAACGGAGGCTCCTGCAGCTTCTTTCCCAACCCGCTTCTACCGGCAACCACACAGTCTGTCAATATGGCTACTGACGGTCATGTGACTGATAGACGTGATGACGTATATTATGCACGCAGCGCGCAGTGAAAATACATTTAACTTATTTTATACTTGCACATTACACAAATATATATATAAATATATATATATAAATATATATATGGTTTCTTTACCTGGGTTACACTTATTTTTCTGTTCTCAATTTGGCAACCCACTAAACAGGGTCTTCAGTTCAATCTGTATTTCAAAAGCATGGTGTCTCTTTAATATGGAATATTATTATATGCTAAAAACGTAATCAATGCACCTGCTCTTTGATAGTCTCAGGGTTCTGTTTAAAGCGCAGAGAGAACCATGAAGACAAAGGAACACACCAGGCAGGGCCAAGATACTGTTGTGGAGAAGTTTAAAGCTGGATTTGGATACAAAAAGATTTCTCAAGCTTTAAACATCTCAAGGAGCACTGTGCAAGCAATTATATCGAAATGGAAGGAGTATGAGACCACTGCAAATCTACCAAGGCCCGGCCGTCCCTCCAAACTTTCATCTCAAACAAGGAGAAGACTGATCAAAGATGCAGCCAAGAGGCCCATGATCACTCTGGATGAACTGCAGATAACTACAGCTGAGGTGGGAGAGTCTGTCCATAGGGCAACAATCAGTCGTGCACTGCACAAATCTGGCCTTTATGGAAGAGTGGCCATTTCTCAAAGATATCCAATAAAAGTCTCTTAAAGTTTGTCACAAGCCACCTGGGAGACACACCAAACATGTGGAAGAAGGTGCTCTGGTCAGATGAAACCGAAATCAAACTTTTTGGCCACAATGCAAAACGATATGTTTGGTGTAAAAGCAACACAGCTCATCACCCTGAACACACCATCCCCACCTCAGCTGTAGTTATCCAATAAATTTCGTTCCACTTCACGATTGTGTCCCACTTGTTGTTGATTCATGACAAAAAAAAATACAATTTTATATCTTTATGTTTGAAGCCTGAAATGTGGCAAAATGTTGAAAGGTTCAAGGGGGCCGAATACTTTTGCAAGGCACTGTACATTGTGGTAAATAAATCTAAGGCAACCAAAGTGAGACTGGCATAATAAAAATTAATATTAGCCTTGTTAGCATGTTTTATGATATCAAGTAGAGTTAGCTAACTTGCCCAACACTAATTAGCTTGAATCTCACAAATAAGGCTAAAAGGTTAAAAGAGTTGCACACTATGTACACTTATGTACAACACGGATGAAAATATGTTTATACCTTGTTCAGATGACAGTGAAACCTCCTACAGATTCCAGCCCAGACTGCTGTCTGCTGCTGTGAGAGGTCATTCTCCTACGTCATCGCCGCCATTTTGGTGCCCCCCTAGCGTTTCTATGCGGAAGTGAAAAGGTGCCACTTCACAGCCGTTTTTTTTTTTACATAATTCATCTGAACCTTAGACTGTATATATTAACGGACAGAGTCACGCCTATCTCTGCCGTTCTGACTAATGGGCCAAAAAATTTGCTCTACTGGAGCTATCCAAAATGGCCGCGAGTGGTCCCGCCCACAAGAAAATTGTGAAAAAACGCATCTGCGCATGCGTCAGCCGGTGCAGCTCCATTCATTTGAACGAGAGACTTCAAAAATTCACAGCAAGTAAACTAGAGTGGACCAAAAAAATTCACCCCCCTCAGCATTGACACACATTTGGAACGGAGCTTTGGGCCAAGAGCCAACTTTTGGTCCATCCTGTAAAGACGTTTTTGAGACGTCTGCCAACGCTATATGTTAGCATTGGCTAATTCTTCTTCTGGGTCCACCCCCATCGGCCCGGGGTGGTATTGCAAGCATGTCAGCGCACATCATTTTGGCCACTTTTGAGCTGGGACCCGCCCCCACTGATCAGAACATGTCAAAATGAACACCCGAAATATTACAAACACATTGTAGTTATATATTCTGGATAGCAGCATATTAAATTCTAGTTCTACTTTAAAGGCGCTATACCCGTTTCTGCAATGTTTGAATGTTTAGCACCGCCCCCCAACTCGCTCAATGGCTTCTCATTTCCCCTACGCTCTCATAACACAGAGCCACCTAGTTTTATTTGCGATCTGATACATATGCTAACATTAGCATTAGCGCAACTTCTTGTAAGCTGTACAACAATCACTGATGAAATGGCACTAAAGCAACGCACTGCTAACACAATATATAAGTAAAAGAATACCGCTAGTTTTGCGTCCGAATGTATCAATTTAAAACCTTAGAATATATTCTAATATTTAATTATAATTTGTTATAGAGCTCCTCAAAGCAGCAGCAGCAATTCTTCCGATCATTTTTTCTTGATAACAGAACTCTCAAACCAATAATGACCGAAGCCCCAATGCAACCTCTGTTTGTAATTCAGGTGTGTAAAATACTGCCATTACTCTGCAAGTACAACAAGCTATCAGCGCCTGTCACTACACACTCGTCTGTGTAGAGAAAGCTAGCGGAGCTAGCCACGCTCAATAAACAACTACATATCTATCAATCAACACCATTAAACGTCAATCGGACAATACAGTACACATATACATCCTTAACACACATGCACGGATGATTTCAGAATTTGCTGTTAACGTTTTCATGACAAAAATACTGTTTCAATGTGACAAAAAGCGATTGCGAAAAACCCGGAAGTTACCATGAAACAGCTAGCTAGCTTAGCTGTTACCTGCCTAGCACGTCCCGGTGAAACCTTTGGGAGCTAACTATTTTATTTGCAGTCATTAAATACATTTCGAATTACAAGGGTTGTCTAATATTTGTTCACATTTTTTTATTCAATTATTTTGTTCATCATTTTTTATTTTAGAATTTATATTCGAATTTTGAAGTCGAAGCCCTGGTGTTAAGCAGCGCTGTAGAGGCTAGAGGACGCAGGCTGTTCGCTGCTCGTTCTGTGCGGAGGAGAAAGAGCGGCCCGCTCAGACTCTACTCAGCACTTTTCACTGCTTGTAATTCTTACACAGCTGAATCAATTACCTCAAGTTTTTATTAAATGATGTATTATGATACAACTTGTATGTAGTAAAAAGCATTTTTATGAACTACTTAGAAAAAAAATCGGGTATAGCTTCTTTAACTTTCCTTTTTTGTTGGAGCTTCTATTATTCAAAATTATGACGTCAATATTTTCATTTATTCTCCAAATGATTATCAGATCTGTTTACTGTATATATTCACTGGTTATTGACCTCCTAGACTACCAACAATTGTTATTGGCCTCTTAAAAACAACACTAGAACTTTAATCTAAATTTCAAACATAAAAAGTGGAAGTGATGCTGCTGGAGGTCATTCCAATCATCATTCTATTCTATTGATCGTTCAAATAATCTTTCCAGACAAAACTATTTTAAAACTAAAGCGAGATATGTGTTTTTGGCCGGGAATAAAGCACTTAACAATTCATGAATTGGGTTGGAGATTACTGAAAAAAAAAGGAAAAAAAAACAGTATTATTTATAAACAGCTCTACAGGAAAGTCTGAGCATCGACTCAACTGGGGAAAAGTCACAACAAGCCAAAGGCTGGACTCAGGCTGGACTCAGGCGGGACTCAGGCTGGACTCAGGCGGGACTCAGGCTGGACTCAGGCGGGACTCAGGCTGGACTCAGGCTGGACTCAGGCGGGACTCAGGCTGGATTCAGGCTGGACTCAGGCTGGACTCAGGCTGGACTCAGGCGGGACTCAGGCGGGACTCAAGCGGGACTCAGGCGGGACTCAAGCGGGACTCAGGCGGGACTCAGGCTGGAATCAATTTTGACATCTTAATTTCTCAATAACTTAAATGGATAAGAGATAGAGGCTTTATGTGATTTAGTGAAATTATAAGGATGGCCCAAAGTTTATGCAGGAATTTAACTGTGGCATTTGCTGTCCCCAGAGGTCTCCCATCACAGTACTAACCAGGCCCTGCTTTGCTTGGCTTCAGAGGTCAGAGGGAATCTGGCTTTAATATGCAGTTGGTGCCACAAAAGAACTATGTACTGTTCAGGGCTTGGATACAATTGTCACTGCTCCAGTACATGTTTAATTGTCCACTTCCAGAATCCAAATCTTACAACAAACATTATAACCCTAACGCAACAAATACAATGAGATATTTGTTTAAATGTTTAATCCTCAGTCAGAGCAGAGACTCACCTCTCCACACACACTCCCTCCAACTCCTCCAGTGTTTAGTATTTTACGGGTGTTTTTTACAAGGGTCTGATATGTGTCTTTTTTCTCTGTAGCACTTTCAGTAAACTGTCGTCTTCTGTTTTATGTGTTGTTTTGGACAGACAGTGGAAGTAGTTCACCTCTGCCCAAGTTTGCATCATCACCCAAACCAAACAACAGCTACATGTTCAAGAGGGAACCTCCGGAGGGCTGCGAAAAGGTCAAAGCCTACGAGGAGAGGTGTGGTCTTATACTTGTTCCACTCATGAAGTACCCTTAAAATGACTTTACTCTGTCAGTGTGTGAAGAGGTCAAAGGTTGGGCTGTGCATGTATTTTGAAAACTGACCAGTTGTGTGATTATTCTTTTGATTGTTGGATAATAGCTTCCTCTGGCGAGTAGTGAATAGACTATATCTCCATGGCCTCGCACCAAAGTACATCTGTGACATGTTAGTGCCATATGAACCAACTCGGACTGGCCTCCTGCAGGGACTCTGAGGAGCACAGGGACTGGCCTCCTGCAGGGACTCTGAGGAGCACAGGGACTGGCCTCCTGCCAGGACTCTGAGGAGCACAGGGACTGGCCTCCTGCCAGGACTCTGAGGAGCACAGGGACTGGCCTCCTGCCAGGACTCTGAGGAGCACAGGGACTGGCCTCCTGCTGGTCCTCAGAGTTACGACTAAACATGGGCAGACGTTGGGGAGACATTTATGAATATGGTCATCTACCCCTTATGAATCTGTGTGTGTTTTTTAATCATTGCATTTCTTATGTTGGAACGGTTTGATTCTCCGATCTGTGTTGGCGACTCAATGGTTTTGTTTAGTCCTCCAAGAAAACTACAGTCGTGATTTAGGACTATACAAACATAAATTGAATTGAATTTTTGAGTCTGTGTGTGGTTCAAACAATCCATGCAGCTGTTTACACTATTCCCTGACCCGTCCTGACCATAGCTACTCTCTGTCCTCTTCTGTGCAGCTCCAGACAGTCGGCCTCAGCCTCCGCTCCCCTCTTCTCCTGCCCCGACAAGAACAAGGTCAACTTCATCCCCACGGGTTCAGCCTTCTGCCCGGTCAAACTGCCCGGCTCGCTGCCCCTGCCCCCCAGCGCGGCTCTGCACGGGCCGCCCACACAGGTGTCCACCAGCACCAGCACGGACGAGGGCCCCACAGAGACTGAAGCCCCCCAGACTTAGGACGCCGCCGTCAGCTAGGCCACGAAAACCAAAGCCTCCAAAACCACTGACTTGACTTGCAACCATCTTTTTCTTTTGGCCCCAGACAAAACCCGCCATCTCTGCATGACGTAGCAACTATGGCTGTGTCCCAAACTTTCACTCAGATTCTTGCGTAGTGTCCGGAACGAGGGCCACGCCGTCTTTAAGGGGCGTGTCCGAATGTCCAGCAGGGGAAGCGAGGGACGCACCAGGATTTTATTTGTCTTTCATTCACTCAATTTTAAGAGCGAATGATGCACGTTTTCATACTGTGTACTGTGTTTGTTAAGTCTTTCTTAAATGAAATAATTGACAAAAAAGAACTAGGAATTAATAATATCGCTTCTACAATCATCTTGAGAGCTCAAACTGGAGGAAGCGTTTGATTTAATATTTCTTTAAAAACACTATGTTACTGAACACAAATAAAACATATAAGCTCTTATAAAAAGTCAGGTAGTATTCAAGGTTTAAATCTTTATTCTCAAAATGGTTCTCTGATTGAAAGAGTCTCCTCCTGAAGGTACTGAGGGGTTTTGCTTGAGGACGAAAATACTGTTGTCGCCCTTAAAACTGGAGAGACATTCTTGATTTTCAGAGAGAATGTGACATTGTATGATTTTTAAACAATCAGAGGAATCAGACTGCTCAGTTTAGATTTCTTTTAGATTTCCCTTTTTTATTTCTATTTCAAATTGATACCGTACGTTTTCAGACAGAAAAGTGTGCTTAAGACAACATGTTTTCTGATAAGATGAACCCATGACCTGCTCACCAGAGGGGTCTCTAACATGCGGCTCCCCAAAAGGAATCTATTGCCCCCTAGTGGACATCAAAAGTTAATGCCAGTGCGGCTGTCATGGCATGTTTTACATAAATCTATTTTCATCAAGAAGACAATCCCTTAAACATTATCCAGCCATTGGACCAGTTTTGTTTCTATCCAAGCAACTCTACTCATGTTGTTCATAGAAACATTTAAAATGTATAGCTACTCATATATACAATGCCACTGATTATTTGATCCGAAGACCTTCATTATAAAAAGTCACAGATGCAAATGATGAGTTCTAAACAAACATTCCAAAGGCGCTTGATTCTTGGTTTTGGCATTCTCTATTTTTGTCTCTGCAAACATTTACTCTGATCTTTTAATTCTTAATTGATAAAAGGAGAGAGACAGTTTAAACGTAGGGGTGTATTATACATCTATGAATCCAGGAGCTAAACTGCGTGTGCTCAACTTACTTTACTTTGTCTTGTTAGTGCTTCAATGTCCATATTTATGTTTGCACACACACAAACACGTGATAAATATACCCCTTATGCTTTACCCCCCAGCTTCACCCAGACTCCACCTCGTGCAGCCCCCAGTTGAATTGAGTTTGAGACCCCTGGTTACTATCCCAGGTTTAAAGATGATCATTTATTATAGAAGTAAAGTTTGCGCAGAGAAAGTAGTGAGCAGAAAGCCCTAATTACTGTAGGACTGAGTGCACTTTATAGTCTTACTAGTGAGGCTCGGGATGAGAGTGGACATTCGGACACGGCCTACGTCTAACCACACTCACCACAACAGACTGGTCACTTCGCCATCCTGACCAGGGAAGACCACTAGGGGGCGCAGCCGAGCACTATATGGATACGAGCAGGGGGGGCATGCATCGACTGGTAGTATATTTCTGCAATTACCTTATGTGTTGTGTTCTGTTTCAACATTCACAGTATAAATTATATATATATAGACACACGTATAAATAATATATATATATATATATATATATATATATATATATATATATATATATATATATATATATATATATATATATATAATATCATGGGAGAACAAGCCCCTACACGGCATGTACCACCGGAGCATAACAGAAGTGGCTGATCTCAAGAAGTCCTACCAATGGCTAGAAAGGGCTGGCCTACAGGACAGCACAGAGGCACTCATCATGGCTGCACAGGAACAGGCACTGAGCACCAGAGCGATAGAGGCCCAGATATACCACACCAGACAAGACCCAAGGTGTCGGTTGTGCAAAGAGGCACCTGAGACGATCCAACACATAACTGCAGGGTGCAAGATGCTGGCAGGGAAGGCCTATATGGAACGCCATAACCAAGTGGCTGGCATAGTGTACAGAAACATCTGTGGAGAGTATGGGCTGGAAACCCCAAGGTCTAAGTGGGAAACTCCTCCAAAGGTGGTGGAAAATGAGCGTGCGAAGATCCTGTGGGACTTCCAGATACAGACCGACCGAATGGTAATGGCAAACCAACCTGACATCGTGGTGGTGGACAAAGGGCAGAGGACAGCCGTGGTGGTGGACGTGGCAATTCCAAGCGATGGTAACATCCGGAAAAAAGAACATGAAAAGCTTGAGAGATACCAAGGTCTCAGAGAGGAGCTGGAGAGGGCCTGGAGGGTAAAGGTGACAGTAGTGCCCGTGGTGATCGGTGCACTCGGGGCAGTGACCCCGAAGCTAGATGAGTGCTTACAGCGGATCCCTGGAACAACCTCGGACATCTCGGTCCAGAAATGTGCAGTGCTAGGAACAGCAAAGATACTGCGCAGAACCCTCAAGCTCCCTGGCCTCTGGTAGAGGACCCGAGCTTAGAGAGGGATAACCGCCCGCGGAGGGCCAAAGGTGAGTGGACAATTTTTTTTTTTTTATAAAAATATCTATGAAAAGAAACAAAATGCTTGTTTGAAAAAGATCCTAGACTGCGTATTGCTGTGTGACGGGCTGTACTGTTCAGGATCATGTTTACCCAATCCAGGCTATGTGTCACGGCGGCAAGAAGGGCAAGTTACAACAACAACGGAACTGTCGGAGGAGATTAAAAACATCCAAAATGATTTGAATTCAGACGCCTCCCACATACAAACACTTATGTTCCAAAATGTTAACAAATCTAACCAAACAGAATAGATCAGTGCTTTTCAAAGTTAGACCAACAAGAAAAAAGGTTGCATTCATGTGACATCACAACATTCCATAGAGCCTATAGTTTGACATGTGGTGGAGGGAAGCTGACACATAATTGTGGTTCAGCAAGCTTCATTTTGAGTTAAAGTCTGTCATTCCTGGGCCAATCCACATGAACCAATCCAATCCAATGAGGCCAATCCACGGGAATCAAAATCTCTCAATGTTCCACATCTTCTTTGTCTGCTCATGACGACTATGGTCTAATTTCATTTCTCACAAAAAGGAGTCAAGAAGTAATGACAATATTCAAAATCTTATGCTTGTTGTCCATTAGAAAGGACTTAGTGAGTGATTTTGGCACCTTTCCTCCAGAAATGAAATGCAGTTCTAGAATATGAACGCAACCTATTGGGATGCATTTCAAATATTTGGAAAGAATTACAACATTAATACTAGATTTTAGGCAACGACTTAAATTAAAAATCTGAACGAAGTACCTACAATAATAAAGGATTTTTATTTTAAGTCAGAGTGCCTCGGACATTTTCCTCGTTGATTTTTTTCTGTATTTACCCACGGATCCTTAAAGACCACCAGTCCCCTAACGTTCACTCATTTTTTGTTTTCCTCATTCTTCTTGTAAATTTGCCGATGCAGACTTGTTGAATCATTTGTTTCTATGTATTTGGTTTAACTTACAAAGTCCATTGGTAGAGGGGAGGCTTTGGGAACAGCTGAGTCCATTTTATAACTATTTGGATTTGCTTAGCATTTTGGTCGCACATTTTTATTGTTTTTGTTCCAAACCAGTTGTTGTTGTGACTTCCTCTTTGTGGCCAGTCGTCTAAACCCCACCTCCAAAAGGCAAACACGTTTAGGTAAAGCAACGCAAAGTGGTGGCTTGGTAGTTGCCCAGTGTCTTGCATCAGGTATTTCAATCACGAGTCTATATCCTCAGGTAATTTAAGACGAGCGTCCCTTTTTACCAGATCCTTAAAAAACAGAAAAACAAATTGCGATTGTTTTTCATTCCCCATTCCAGGTCAAACATGATTCCATTGAGAGTGAGGAAGTGTGTGGACCAAATGCACTGTGACGAGAAGGCCGTGTGGTGGGGCTGCACAATGCTATATATGTACAGTATATGTACAATGACAGTTCAATACACAAACACACAGTTACTACACAAATATTTCTGCACACATTTTAAAACGTCAACAAAACAGTCATTCTTTAGCCCCTTTTTCACAGCTACACAAATCCATGCATTCACTTCCTGTACCAGCCCAGCACATTGTATTTGTTAGCTTCACCACTTTTTCTTTGCTATATGAAAAAATATATATATATTTCAATATATTGTGCAGCCCTATAGGTTTATGAATGGCGGCGGTGTGTTCGTTGAAACGGTAAAAGTGAGTGATGGGGGATCAGAGGATCACAAGTGGGTGAGTCTTCAATCAGAACCAAACACTGGAGTCGGGCCTGCTGCACAGAGGACAAGAGACGTTTTATTCTTAAAGCTGGGGTACCCGATTTTCAACCCACACGTACTACTTAATCAAATGTATCCAAACTATATAGTTTCTCACGCTCAAAACATGCATGTATTTTTGGCTTCCGTCACATTTTAAGACTGAGAAATGGCAAACGGCCAATCAGTGTCAAATAGGCATTAGTTAAAAGTTTGGACACTCTTTCTGTAAGATTGAGTAGCCATAATTAAAAACAAATGTCAATTCTTACAAATAAATGGATTGGAAAGGCTCTGAGCTTTACAATGAGGTAAAACATGCCTGTATGAGAAGCAGAAGTTGGCACGATAACACTATGAACTTGTTTATAATCTGGTATTTGGGATAGCAAGACATAGGGCCATTTAGAATGACAGTGGGCCGCAATTGGACCTCAGGCCTCTGTTTGGACATGCCTTGTTTAGGGTTAGGGATGCATACTTTCTGATGCAAAAGAAAGTATGAAGTATGCAAAAGATAAGATAACAGAAGCATGCTGTGGTTTGATTTGTTCTCAGAATTT